AAAAGCATCAGAATATTTATATTAACCATGGCCAATTCATCCTATCACAGCACCATAATGTTTATCTTCGTGAAAAGATAATTTAAATAACACCGGTTAACACAAACTCGGATAAAAAGTGTTGAGGCTCTTTTACCATTCGTTACTTTTGACCTTGAGTTACAAAAAATGACCACATTTTTAATAATCTGTCATATCCAGCTTGTTGAATGTGTATATAGTGTGACGTTACTTAAATGTTATCTTAGTCATATGTTAGCCTACTTTTAAAGCGTGGTTGAACGATTGCCTCTTTTACTTAAATTGTGATGTGCATGCTTTGCATAATTGCATATGTTTTGTATTTTACACTTCAGGGTTTCTTTGACGCTTATTTGTTACATGAGTCTACATCGTTTTCCCATGGATCGACAGTCATGTGGTATTGATATGGAAAGCTGTGAGTTCATTATCCTTTATGTATAGGTAACATCTGTTATCAGTTTATTAGGTCTGTTTTAATTACTTACTGTTGTGTATATAAATTATAAACACACATGTCAATATAATATGCTATTTATAATGCAAGTACGTGTAAAGAAGCATACATAATCACAATCTAAATTCACATTTGTATATTGTAATTTATTGTACATGGTAACTTGTTGGCTCTTCAGTACGATGTGTCTTACTTGCGCACGTAAATTAAGCTTATCTATTTTAAAAGTGAATACATTGAGACTCCAAAACTAGGTCTAGCGAGATAAATATTGCAACATAAAACAAATGTGAAACACGGGACTCTAACTCACGATCATGGCACTCACTGATATTAACCATTGTGTGTGTGTGTGTGTGTATAAATTATTCTGTAGTTGGGTATACGACGAAAGACGTCCGATTATCGTGGAACAATGACATAGGGGTTATGATTCCCCCTGATGTTGTCATGCCGGGATTTGAAATCGAGAGCCCAACGATAGAACAAACAGAAATATTATACCCAATGGGTATGTAATATTATATATTCACAGTGTATTATTTAGTGTAATATAAAATAATTTTTAATCACAGTAAGTATGCGTGGCAGCTAATTAAAGCGCGGTTGTTGTCGCGCAGCGCGTGTTCGAATTTGATGTAAATAAACAACGTATTTTACACGCGTTGTATACGTCGCTATGAGTCCCATATCGAACAGGACGCGACGCGGCGACTGCCGCCCTTTAATTATATCACATACCATTTACCTATGCAATATCTAGAACGCACGTAGAAGATTCTTTTTTCATACAACAAATTCGAATGCGCATTGCAAGAAGACTGAAATGTGTATACTCAAAGGAACGTTTAGGTAAAAATTTAATTAGGAGTCACAAAGGAACAAATAGTAATATATTTTATGAATTAAACAAAATAGTTTGCAAAAATCTTACGTTTTCTACATAATTGGATTAATCTGTAAACATATATAAAGATAGGGTAATTGGTAAACTTTATATTTAATCAAACGTAAACGGCCATTTTCTAAAGACGTTGAGTTACAGTTTGTTTTTCATAATGGCTGTCTTATTGAGAAAATATGGTATTCCCATCTCAATGGTAACCAATGACATAACACACTATCAAGTTTCCATTGGAGAATGGAAAACATATTTCAATTTAGCGCAATGTTGTGATTTACCCACACAAGTAAGCATTTACATTGGTGTACTGGCTAACGAATAGAAGAGTCTAAATCATTGGAAAGATCACTAAGTATATATTTAATCGTAAGAAATCTAAGTTAAAGGGCGGCGGTCGTCGCACTACATTATGTCCCATGTGACGCTTATCAGCGCCTGGAGATTACATTGACAGAGAAGTCAGACGACAACCGCCATTTACAAAAAAACTATTGTTGTAGTGAACAGTTGCTAACGTACGGGGTCAACGCTGCAATAGTCTTACATGCAGTTATTGCTTGGTTTCACAGGTTACTATGATAGATTGGAATGCCGATATTCACTACACCGTGAACTTATATTCTATATCATGGAGCACTATGTCCCCTCTATGCTGCTGGTCATTCTTTCCTGGATTTCATTTTGGCTGAGTGTGGACGCCACTCCAGCCAGGGCCAGTCTAGGAATAACTACAGTATTAACACTCACGACGCTGAGCTCTGGGGCGCGTGTCGAGCTACCTAAGGTGTCATATACTAAGGTTGGAGATTGTAAAGTTATATTTGTCAAGTTGAACGAAGTATATTAAAATGACTTTTCAGATTGCGTGATTTATATCGGTCACGATTGGATATTCAGTGACTGCGGATTTGAATGAAATTTGTTGTGACTTCTTATAAGAAACAAGTGGTAATTTGAGAAAATGTTAATTATAAATTGAATATTAGTTTCAGGTGTGATGAGGTTTTTCTATGCACGCATCAACGCCGTACAGAAAAACACTTTATTTTCGATAACGAATCAAGAAAATCATCCTCTAAATGCAAATATATATGAGAAGGTTTAGCTTCAGCGCCCAAAAGCCTCTAAAAGAATTTATTTGCTCATTTGGTTATGAATATTAATATAGTTTATGTTTATAATATTATTACTGTTAGTGGTAGTATTTTTTATGAAAAAAAGTATTTGTTTACACAATCAATTAGGCCGCGCTGGTCTGCGCCAGGAAAGACAAAGTTGGTGCATACAATTGTACTTCTTTGTGGTATACTCTACGAATATAGTTTATGAAATACCGTTCCTAACTAATAAACAGTATATCTGAAACCCGGGGGTGATAACAATAATAACAAGCCATAACATAGATCCATTAGTTTAGTTGCATTCCAAAGATACCTCCCGTCGCTTAATGATGCCTCGTACGGTTTCACTTTATTTCCTTTATTTTCTCAGAGTATCCGGGAGATATACTTGACTTTGATCCAACAGTTCAAAGCGCTGGAACATGGGTTCTGACGCGTTTGATTCATGAATACGTAAAAGGTTCCACATTGCGTGAGTTAGTGTGGAGAAAACTATTAAAACTTGAATAAATTTGTAACAGGCTAGACGAATTTCAAAATAACGATTAGTTTCAAAATAATTCCAATGTTACATTTGAATAAAATTCTATTTAACTCGATATCATTACATCACATATGTGGAAACATAACTTTGCATTGTACCTTGTTTAAGTGTTTCACTGAAAGGTACGCCTCGAGATACACAACAGCAGGTCACCTAGACTACATCAACTGTGTCACGTCAAGGCACAATCATTGGTAAACAATATACAAACCAGTATAGCTCAGCATAATAATAAGAATAATGTAATAAATTATTATTTATGTTACAGGCTATTGATGTATGGATGCTTGTTTGCTCATTTTATGTTTTTGCTGCATTACTGGAGTTCGCAATCGCCAGTTATTATCATAAATACAAAAGATGTGAAAGTATTAGTTTATCGGCACTAGAGGACGCTGTACATCTAATGAAGGAAACTTCTTTCACTAAAATGGCAAGTTTTTCACCAACTCTTGAATTACCCTGACAAGTTGGCGTGAG